CCTATTGGAAACATGCTGCACTGTGTGCCCTGTAGACCACCCAGCCCACCCAGTTTTGGTGGTTTGGCCTTCTCTAAGGCTTGCCTGCAGGTGTGACCTTACTTACCCACCTAGAACAAGCTACTCTGCCGTTTTTCTGAAGTTTAAAAATATGACTGGCTAAAAGAAGACAGTAAGCAAGTCGATTTTTATACTGCCCTGAAAAGTTATAATTATAAAGTTTAGTGAACTTCATGAACTTTTTCAAGCATGTTTTTGCTGCAAACTTGTGATTGATGTGGAGGCCCCCTGGGGCATAGGTAAAACAGTTGAAAGGTAGGAAGTTGAGTGAGCTGCCTCTTGTACATAACCTGACAGAGGCTTATAAGGTTAGCATCAACATTGCCTCAGCCCCAGCCCAGTGCAATTTGAAATTAGATAAAAATTTTGGCAACGGTGTGGCAAACCAAAACTCAACCTTGCTTTTCTGTAGTTCTATTAACTTTATAAAAGTAATAAGCTATTTTTTGTAAAGTAAGCTGTTAGGCATCAAGGGCACACTAAAGCAGCTGTATTAAGTAGAAAGGAGGTGATTTTTTTTTTTCCTGATGTAACCACACTCTAAATCTTCACAATCTGTCACAGCTTACTCTGTAATTCTAAGCCAGCAATATTCAAAATCACACAATAAGCACTGTTAGCAAGATGTGGAAATTTTCTTGAGCAGCAGGAATGTACCCCAGAAGTCAGGATGTTTGCTGACCATTAGCTCTACTTGCATGCAACCTGTATTGGCTGTCCCTTATGGCACTCAGACTTATGGCTCCAAAGTGGGCAAATGAACACAAACAGTCTCATGAACACTCAAAAAGAGTTTCTTGCTTAATAATCCTGTGAACTATACAGGGCACTACTTTCCTTAGGGAAGCATCATATGTCTTCATAACTCTCTTGGAAACTTCCTTCTAGTATAGGGAAAAATTGAGGCTCTGTTATGTGTCAGAACCTGAATCTGCCACCCATAGTAGAGCTGTAGAACCAAAAGATAATTTTTTTTTTCAGATGTGAAAATCAAAGCCTCAGGGGCTAGTGACTAGCTCAAGGTCATATGGTTTGTTAATGGAGGGGCCAAGACCAGAAGCCACTGTGATCTCACTTCTAACACAGCCAGATATCCACATAAGCACAAATTACTTCAAGAAGAGGGTGATTTAGTCTGTCTCCTTTTATCTGGCACAAAGTAATCACTTACTAGATGCTAGTTGTTGTTAGAGTTATTTTTATTTTTATTTCCCTCCCTCTCCAGATGTTATTGTGTTTCACAACAATATGATTTAAGGGTTTAAGTGGCTTGTATTCAGATTTTAAAGAAAAGATCTTGTGTAAGTTTAGGTCTGGAGAAGATCTCGAGAGACCTTCTAGTTTCGCTTTATAATAATATTGTCCTTCCCACAATGATTTTTTTACACAGTAAGAAAATGTTTCTTTTTAGCAAGATCTTGTGATTTTAGCTAGAAGATAGTTTGAATAGAAGAAAACTTTTTAAATTTCATTTTCAGGCGTTGCTGAAAAAAATTAAGATTCTCTGTTTCTGTTTCCCTCCCTCTCTCATTCATACATGCCTACTCCCCTAATACATTATACTTGAGATTTATATGAAGTTAACATTTTATAAATACTTTGAAAACTAATTCCAGTGATGAATTAAAGCATTAGATGGATAGCATATTTAAACAAGCTGTTCATGTATAAAATGGAAAGTTTTCCTGAAAAAAGGAAACACATTATTTAAAAAAAAATCTGTATTATGGAATTTTTACATCAGCTCTTATTACTAAGATGTTTACATAAAAAGTGTTCCATAAAGGGGAAAAATTATGCCGGTTGCACCTATAATTTGCTTTGCTCCAAACCTTAGCTATTTAAACTGCTTCCATTTATGTGCACAAACCTGAATGGGTTTTTTTTATGCCCTCAAATTAAAGGCCTATTTGGAAAACTTGAGCTAACATGCACACTTATCCTGCCACTACCATCTTTTTCCCAATATATTCTCTCAATTTATTGGGAAGGTAAGTTTGTAAACACAAAATTTGCCCTAGCTACTAATTTCAGGTCCTTCACCTGCACCACATAACATGGAATAAATAGGAAGCAATAACCCTCTGGTGACCATATGTAAAGACATCTAAAAGAAAACTGAACATGAAAGGAAGTAGGAGCTCAGAAAATTAGATTAATGAATGAACAAACCAAAATATGGCTAACATGCTTTGCTATTTAATAACAACCACAGTCCCAACAACACTGAAAACTAATATTATTTGAGCATCTTACTGTGAGTCATGTATGGTCCCAGTACTTTATATAGATAGCTCATTGGCTACATTCATGTGCTCAAGAAGTTAGTTATGCACCATTTAGCCAGTAATGACATCATTACCTTCAAGGGTATTAGAACTATAATTAGCTTTTATGAGGCTAAGACATTCTCTACTTATGTTGGTAGTATTTAGCAGTATTTTTCTGGTTAATGCCAACATAAATCTGTTCCACCCTGCAATGCTGCCTAGGTAATCCATATGGAAAGATTTTCTGTGACATTCTAAAGTGAGATGAACATTAGGTGAGTTTGTGCATTTTAAGTTTCCCTAGCCTGTCTTTAGGGGAAATAAAACTAATAAGATCAAAATGATACAAATCTCCGATGAACATTAGAATAGATCCTTTGCTGCTTGTCTGTCTTATCATCAGCAGTTAGGCTCATTTCAGAGAATTCAGTCTTCATAGAATAAATCTGCCTTGCCACTGTGACTGCTGTGCTCTTTCTACAGTGTAGCTCGCTGGCTTTTGTCTGTCTTCTTGTCATCTGTCAGGTCCTTGGACTACAGTGATTCTTACAAGGATCTTTGTTAACTGGTAGTTTCGTGCTGTTTATGTACAAAGGAGCAAGGCTTTAAAAAGTATCTGTGTTGGCCTGGTGCAGTGGCTCATGCCTATAATTCCAGCACTTTGGGAGGCTGAGCTGGGAGGATCGCTTGAGTCCAGGAGTTTGAGAGCAGCCTTGGCAACATTATAAGATCCCATCTCTACAGTTAAAAAAAAAATAGCTGGGCATGGTGGTGCATGTGTGTGGTCCCAGCTACTCAGGAGACTGAGATGGGAAGACTGCTTGAGCCCAGGAAGTTGAGACTTCAGTGAGCCATGATTACATCAGTGCACTCCAGGCTGGGAGGCGGAGCAAGGCCCTATATCAAAATAAAAAAAAATTAAAAAAAATCTGTGCTAAGCACAAATCTGGTTATTTTACTTTCCCCAAATTGAAACTTTTTTATTTTCCCTACTTCTGTTAGTGTAATATTTCATTTTCTCTAGTAGGGGTTGCAAAATCCCGCAAAATCTTATCTCTGCCTACCTTGCCATCTTTATCTCTTATTTCTCCCCACTTTACACATGATACTCCAGCTGACTTAATTCTTAAATTACTTGAACAGTCTATGTACTCTTGTACCTTCTGAACTCACTCTTTTCAGTTTTGTCTCTGCCTTCCCCCTTTATTTGGCTCACTCCCAAGCTACATATTTACATCTCAGTTTCTTGCTGATTTATTAGAAATAGTACTGGTTCTATGAAGTCTAAACCCAGGCTACGGTACAGCACTCATCTGTTCTATCAGAGCACCTGCTCTATCAAGAACACCTGTTCTATCAGAGCAATTATCACTGTATCATCACTATCTACTTATCTGCATTTTCAATAATCCATAAATTCCATAAAATCAGAGGTTATATCTTCTGCATGATTGTATTCCCAGAACCTGGCACAGTGCCAGGCACATAAATGTTTGATAGGTATTTCTTAAGTTCAGGGATGTGGGGAGACGAGAAGAGGTAAGTTAGGAAGTGTGAACAGGGCAAATAAGGAGTGCTCTGTATGTCAGTCAAGGGTCTTATCTTGTTGGATCCCAGAGAAGATTTGAAGTTAGAGAAAACTTTTATACTTGCATTTTGATAGATCTTTCTGGTAGTGATGTGGAGGATGAGTTAGTTGCAGGTGACAAGAGTATTGAGAAGGAGACCAAACTTTTATCCAAGAGAGAAAAAATGAGAACCTTAAACTATAGGACCTTAAACTATGGGAATGAGATGAGGGACAGATTTAACAACTATGAATAAAACAAATGGCATGGCCCTTGGCAGATTATTTGAGATGGTGTGGAAGAAAGAAGAGGGATGTTCAGAATCCTAGTTTGGATGATGTTCATGCCACTAACAATTATAAGGAGGAAAAAGACAAATTATTTGAGGAATGGTGTTTGGAATGATGGTTCTATGGGATATCCAAGTGGAGATATTGAGTAGGTCTTTGCAAACTAGGGTATGGTGCTCAGTAGCACATGTATGTGATGAACATTTAAGTATAATGAAGGCTTTTGTTCAGATGAGATTAGCCAGAGAGAATGAGTATATAGAGGAGAGGTCTGTAGAGTACTGGCTTGAGGCACACTGGGTTGCAATGAACAGCAATCTATTAAAACCAAGTAAGTAGTAGGGTGGTAGGTATAATAAGCATTATTGTCATGTAATTCAAGGACAAACCATGAGGAACAGCTCCTACCATTCATTACTGGATGTGGAATGGCTGGCATTAAAGCCCTTCTGTTTCTGAAAGGTCTGGTTTTCTCTCATCTCAGTGCTCTACATTTTCTTTTCTTTCTTTCTTTCTTTCTTTTCTTTTCTTTTCTTTTCTTTTCTTTTTTCTTTTCTTTCTTCTTTCTTTTTCTTAATTGAAATGAAGTTTGACTCTGTCACCCAGGCTGAAGTGCAGTGGTGAGATCTCAGCTTACTGCAACCTCCAGCTCCTGGGTTCAAGTGATTCTCCTTCCTGAGCCTACCAAGTAGCTGGGATTACAGGTGTGCACCACCACGCCTGGCTAATTTTTGCATATTTAGTAGAGATGGGATTTCTCCATGTTGGCCAGGCTGGTCTCAGACTCCTGGCCTTATATTATCCACCTGCATCCGCCTCCCGAAGTGTTGGGATTATAGCCATGAGCCACTGCTCCTGGCCTCTACATTTTCTCTCTTACCCTTTCCTCTGTTAGCCCCTTAGCCTCCTGTATTTCCAAGTGGCCAAGGCAGCTGCTACCTTTAAATTTCTATAATGTCATCATTCCTCTTTTTGTCATTCTCTGTATAAATTTTGTGTGTCTCTAACTTGAAGTTCTCAAAGAAAGAGAGCATTTGGCTGATTAGCAAAGCCTATAGTTTGGTTCCCTTCAGGTCAGGGGTTCACTCCTTGGGCCAAGTAGTACAAAGATGTCAGCAAGAGCTGTGAGAGGAGACAGATCCTCTTGGGAGAAGGTGTACCTATGGAGATTGAGTAGCTTCTGTAGTAAACTGTTATTTAAAGCAGCATGCCCCAGAGTATAACATGCTTATTAATAATCTGAGAATTTTGTTTAAATGTAAATTTTGTCTAGCAGGTCTGGGTTATTCCGTGTGTCAACAAGCTCTCAGGTAATGCTGATGCTGCTTGTCTGAGGTCCTTCAGCCAAACACAAAAGGATTGTAAAGGAAGGGTAGCAGAGGCCATGTTTGGAGAGGGCAGAGAGCAGGAAGGAAATGAGGAGAATGGAGAATCTGTGGGTAAGAGACTGCCCAGAAGGACCATGTGCTCAGAGACAGCCAATGTTGGAGAGGGTGAGCAAAATAAAAATGAAAGCCACTTTAATATGAACACTATGCACAATTTTGTAAGTTCTTGTCAGCTGAGTCCAAAGGTCTATGGATTCGCGAGCAAGAAGGTCCACAGCTGGATAAATCCAGAGTTGGGGATTTGCAGAACAGAAATGGGGAAGAGAATAAGCAACTTGAATTAATATGTTAACCAGGAGGTCGATTTTGTGATAGATCATGCAGTTTATGTTGTTTCAAATTATTCAGTGCCTTTAGATTGTTTTTTAAAAGCTGGAAAAGACTCAACCATTGCTTAACAGAGAATAGTTTCTCATGAAAATAAGTGCGGGTATGTGTACATATGCATACCCATATGCTTGTGTGTCTAATCCTCTTGCAAGTGATGTATCTCTACATAACAGGCTGACTCTGGAACGATTTATAACAGTTCACTTGTTTGGATCTTCAGAAAGTATTATCTTTTGCAGTCAGACATGGAATGTTCTCTTGCCAACGTAATTATGGAAAGACAGAACTCAAAGTTTAAACATTAACAGTATTGCAGAAGAAAGATGTTTTTCAGGGTGTGATGCATGTGAGTATCTTTGGAGATTAAAAAAATTGTCAGTCTTAATGGTGCCTCATCAAGGAAACTTCAGTTCAACATCTTAGTTTTCTAGTCATGTTAAACTTAATTGAACTGATTCAAGTAAGTTGGTACCCTTTTGAACCTATGCTTAAGTCGTTGTAGTAGCTTCATATTCAGGGTGTTTCCAAAGAACATTTTGGGGTTGACCCATTACAGAGGGAAATGAAACAATTATCTGGCTGACTCAGGAAACCATTGTTTTAGGAGGCATGTGTGAATGAACTGGTATTTTGACATGGCCGTCAGAAGCTCTGGTAGGGGACTGGAATGCCCCATGTAACCGTGCTTTAAGAGAGACCCTCCTCAAGCATAGAAATGCTATTTTTGAATGCAGAGCTTGAGGAGGAATGGAGAGTGTGGTGGGGATACTTGCCAAGTCTGTCACATTAACAGAATCACAGGTGTCACAGGCAGATTGCCTTGGATTCCTTGCCATCTTGAAAAATCTGGATAGGGGTCTGAAATCACTTAAAATACTTTGATGAAGTCATCCATTTCTGCATATTATCAATCATTTAATACATGCCAGCATCTAAAATGTTACTGATATTTTACCTTTCAATGATGTTACATCTGACAGAAATTTACTTAGATCTGGAGAAATGGTATCTGTCTATCCTGGCTTTTTACTGACTTAGGTAATAGAACTGGTTCTAGAATTCTTAGTTGCTGGCCCTTAGGTTTAATCTTTAGAAGCCACCAAGACTACTAAATATTTTAAATGTTTTTAAGCAACAAATGAGCTTTTCATGTGTTAGAACTTAATATATCCTCATGGATAATTCAAATAATGACTGAATAAATGCAGACCAAGCAGGCAACTTAAACTACATGTTCTGGAGATAATTTTCACTGGCCAGGTTTTCCTACAAATTCATCAGTTACAGTTTTATGTATGTTCAGATAAAAATCAAGATTAACTTAAATGAATTCATTTTGTTCACCATTTAGTACAGTCTAGAGAAAGCCATTATTCAATATCATCCACAAATCTGTGATGAAAGAAGCTAAAATTGATCTCCATTTTGATTTATCTCTTGGGATCTAAACTTCTTGTTTTAAAGAGATTTTAAAGAATAGGCATTTGGATTTTATAAAGAAGTACTTGTAGCAAAGGTAGAGTAAGAATCCAAATCTGAAATTTAAAAAAAATTCATAAGGTAATGGTTATTAGATTTGTATCAAAATGTTATTTATCAATTGAATTAGCCTTTGGTGTGACTAGAAGATTTTTCATTATAGATCGGAGTTTCATTGAAAAATAAACTTTTGTAAAAATACACAAAAGAAAATTACTGCTAAATATTTGTAAGCATAGGCAAGAACTGAGGGTGGAATTTGGTTTGTTGTTTGTTTGGATTACTTGCAAACTTTGCTTTTATAAATTGTATGTAAGAATATGTTACCATATCTGTCTTTGAGAACATATTGAGTCAGATGCTTTGAGTTGGATAGCCTTTAGAATCCATGTTAATCCTGACTTTACCAATACCTCATTCAATGGCTACTTCAGTAACCATCTAATTAAGTAGCCCTGACTCTTAAGAGAGAACAAAGTAATTACTTAGTAGGCTAGCTCATCGTGTAGGAATCAATTGGCAGCGATATTTGATTACTCCAAATTGTAAAATTCAAAGCACTATATTTCATACTTCCTAATATTCTTTATTAAGGTGTTTCCCAATCAGTTTCTTAAAATATGTTTCTTTTAGAGTGATGAAACTATTTTTAAGAAATTGTCCATTTAAAAATTTTAAAGAAGTACTTGAGCTCCCCATTTTGCTCTGTTTTTTGTTTAGTTGTGGCAACTTTTTTCTTCCTTGAAAGACACTTACGCTTACATGCAGAAGGGCTGGTTTGAATTTTGGTGCTATTATCAATTAGATGTGTGACTTCATGTGAGTTGTCCAATATATATTAGCCTCATTTGTTTATAGATAGAGGTGGTAATAATGCTCAGGGTTATTATAATGTTAAATGAGATATATGGGAAAGCTTGTTATTGTGAATTGTTGTATAAGTATAATGAACAGGATGTTATTGTGTCTAGTTTAATTGACATTTCATCTATTTAAGATAATTACTATTTAGTAGTACTATCTCTAAATGCTGTCTAGCCACGGAAGATACGAATCATATGGAAGAATATGTCAAATGTTTTTCTGAATTCATGTTATGGGTCTCATCTTTATCTTTTTTCTATTCCTCTGAATGCCTAAGGAAAAGAGATTCTACTAAGGTGGGCTGCTATTTTACCTCTCTTAAATTTTAAATGTACTGATTTTGTGTTATAGTAATTATTAATACTAGCCAACACTTAACTATGTCTCAAGTATGACTTCCAGGACTTTCCAATATTAATCTGTGTTATCCTTGCAATAACTCTGGGAAGTGAGTGCTGTTATTATCACCAGTGTAAAGGTGGAGAAACTGAGGCACAGATAAATTAACTTGTTAAAGATTATACAGCCAGTGTTATCAGTCAGGTTTAACTTTCTTATACCCTTCGGCAGGCATGGTGGTTCAGTCCTGTAATTTCAGTACTTTTGGAAGCCAAGGTGGGAGGATTGCTTGAGCCCAGGAGTTTGAGGCTGCAGCGAGGGCCACTGCACTCCTGCCTGGGTGACGGAGACCATACCCTGTCTCTAAAAAATAATAATGATAATAAATTTTCTTATACCATTTCTTCAGTTCTTAGGGAAGAGTTTGGCAAAAATAATATGTAAGATAAAGAAAGTCATGAACATTACCTGGGCCTTGGATATATAAAGTATGGTGTCTCATCTTGGAAAAATGATGCTGCCTGTCTGCATGTTGGGATGATGCTGAGATTATTGCTTATTTTCCTTTATATTTTTAATCTCCAATGCTTTATAAGTAGATAAATTATTGATAATTTACTAGGATTACTTCTCTCCTGAACCCAAGGCAAAGTAACATGAAGCTGAACTTATCAGAAAGTCCCTGTCATCGCAGTCCTGTGCTATGAGTGATATAATTGGAAGAAACAGCCCAACACCCCACCCAAAGAGATGTTCCAGAGCACATATATTCTATCTTCTTTTCAGACTTGGAATTTATTTGACTTGGTTATACTGCATGGAGTCATTCTTTAATTTAGACATGTTTCCATTCATTTAAGCTATTCATTTGTTAATAAATTTAGCAAATTTTACTGAAGATCTCCCATGTGCCAGGGATGTTGTGGGGTGCTGGAAAGTAGAATGGCAAATATGACAGTCACACACCCTCTGCTTGTTGAGTTTAAAAGCTAGTGGATGAAGATTGACAATAAGAAAATCATCTCACAAATGGAAGTAACACAAGGGCTCTGAATAGTGCTGCAAAACAGTGAAACATGGTACTCCAGGGATAGATAGGAGAAGGCATTTGGCAGACACTTGATGATTATCATTTGTTCTCCATTGTCTGTCTTTAGTCTTGTACAAGATATCAGAGACTTAGTGAGAAAGAACAGAGGGAGGACAAGTTAAAAAGAGTGGATGGGGATAGAGTTGGCAAAGTGAAACATTGAGTAATACAAGGTGGCCACAAAGAAAAGAAAAACCTCGACTGAGCGGTATAAAACATCACATTAGTCCTTGAATATATCACCATATCATAGAAGAATAGAAATATTTGTAGTAATTACCATTTTTCAAGAAATGTTATAGCATATGCATTCTAGTTAACTCATTAAAAGAAGGAGGGATATAAATTTAGTCATTTTAATTAATATGTTTATTTTATTGTTGGAAAGTTTATGTATCCATTTAATGACAATTTATCCAGTATTTTGGATAAATGAGATTATTGCCTTCATTTACATACATATGTAAAAGCAATATTAATATTAGTTGCAAAAGCATCTCTGGACAGGAAGATAGTAGACCTTGGTTTCTGGTTCCAGCTGCTGGACAAATAATAATTGAGAAGAACCTAACTATTTTCATTAGTGAATATGGGATAATAGCATTTCCCCTCTCTACCTCAGAAGGCTTTTTTCTTTATAATTTTTTCTTTATAATTCATTCAATTAATATTTATTTTACCTTACACTGAGAATACAGTGATGTGCAAAGGAGACATAATCTTAGATCTCATAGGACTTACAGTTCCATGGGAAAGATCAATGTTCATTTACAGTGGGTTTTAATTTTTCCATTCGTGGCCTGCAGTGCCATTCTCAAGTGTGCTCATGACATGCTCCCTCACTTCATTCAGTTAGGGCTCTCCTCAAATGTCACCTCTTTGGAGAACCACCATCTCCAGCATTCATTTCAGTCTCTTTTTATCCTTTGCTTTACTTTTCTTCCCCACCTTTATCTGTCATTACACTTGTTGTTATCTTTAGGTCCAAGACTGAAGTAGAGGAATCCTTTATCCAGCCAGGCGTAAGGGTGCACACCTCTAATCCCGGGTACTCGGGAGGCTGAGGTACTAGAATCTCTTGAGCCTGGTTGATGGAGGTTGCAGTGAACTGGTATCACGCCACTTCACTCCAGCATGGGCGACAGAGCAAGATTCTGTCTCAAAAAAAAAAAAAAAAAAAAAAAAAAAAGAATCCTTTATACAGAGACCTTGTCTTTCTTGCTTACTGGTATATATTATTTAGAATAGTACTTGGCACATAACAGGCTCACAACAAATATTCACTGGATGAATGAGTAAATGAGATGAGCCCACAAGCATGTAATTACCAACTGTGACAAACAAATGGGATAAGTGAACAAACTCAAAACTGTAAGTAATTCATGTATGCAAGGTGATGCTATTTATTTGAATTTTAGAAACAAAAATGTAGTCTGCCAGAAGATAGCTTATTATTTTTTCTATTGGGAGCTTCCTATTAAAATGTTCATTTTCTAAGAGTTTCTCTTCCTTTATACCCACGATTTATAATATTGAGTGCTATCTTTATGGTTCTGTAACCCCCTCCACCCCAGTTCAGTTACTCTCTAGAGTAGAGATTCTTAACTTGGATCAGTGAACATTTGTGAATTGCATCGTTGGCTCCTGAGGTTTCATTTCTCTCCTTGAAATTGTAACGTGTGTGGCCCCTGCTCATTTTAATGGAAAGAGTTCCTAAAACTGTCATCAGATTCTCCACTGTATAGCCTCCCAAGTTTAAGAATCGTTGCTTTAAAATTTTTTATTTCTCTTTTACTTTTTGTTCCTCTATTGGTATTTGGTGTTTCTCCTCAAGATGGTTTCATTTTCCATTGATTTTTCATGATTGTAGTTTGTTATTTTTAAGTATTTACTGCTTGATTTTCCCCAGCGTGTGGTATTCTTGGTTTATTGTACGCATCTGAACCCAGCCCTTCTCTCTGTCTCTCTTTTGTCTGTCCAGCAGTGTGGGGATGTGCCAACTGCCGAGTGGTTTTGTCCAACCCTTCTGGGACCTTTACTTCTCCATGCTACCCTAACGACTACCCGAACAGCCAGGCTTGCATGTGGACCCTCAGAGCCCCCACTGGTTACATCATTCAAATAACGTTTAACGACTTTGACATTGAAGAAGCTCCCAATTGCATTTATGACTCATTATCCCTTGATAATGGAGAGAGCCAGACTAAATTTTGTGGAGCAACTGCCAAAGGCCTATCATTTAACTCAAGTGTGAATGAGATGCATGTGTCCTTTTCGAGTGACTTTAGCATCCAGAAGAAAGGTTTCAATGCCAGCTACATCAGAGGTATGTAAACCAAAGGCAGCGCCAAACTTCTGCTTTCATTTAACATGTGCTGCAGTAAACACAAGGACCAGAAGACAGAGTTATGCTCTTTTATGTGAATGTGAATGATTAGGATTGGGATTTAAGGGCAAGAACCTGTTAATATTCTCTGAGCATTCTCGTTAGCAAAATGTAATTACCAGATCCAAAATCTTGTTATATTAGAGTTGAATTCTTTTCTATTGTTTATATGTAGAACATTTAAAGGCTGCTTGGAAGACACTGTAGATATTCCACTGCTAATAATTAAAATCTGTAATTCTAACATCTCTCCACTGAAAATTTAAAACATCCTTATTTAGAAATCATTTTATTTTGGGTTTTTATGTTGCCCTTTTATGGAACTATGGTAGGGAACAAATACAGAAAATGAACGTCAATTTTTAACCAGCTATTAACAACTTAAGCTAATAAATAACACAGCTTGAGGAAAACCTCCTAAAAATGGCTAACTGAAAGAAATAAGCGTACTTTTATTAAATATGTTTTCCATATTCTGGTACAACAGAACATTTAAATAATCTTTCTCTCTAGAACCTGTGTTTCCCTAAAGAAACCCAAGCTTCAGTATGATAAGACTTAGTTTTTACTGGTTTTTCTTCTTCTGAGCTTTCTAAGTAAAAACAAACAGAAAGGTACAACTATAAAAATGACTGTTATGACTTGGTTACTCTGTTTTTTTTATTCTGAACTTTCTAAGTAGAAACAAGCAAAAGGAAAGGTACAACTATGAAAATGACCCTCCCTATTATAAACTGTATTTTTTTAAATTGTGGAGCTATTTGTGTTTGCCATGGTTAAAACACACATGCTTAAATTTTTCAAAATAATGTTTTAAATTTTTCAAAATAATGTTTTGAAAATAATAAATATAGGACATTGGAAAAAAAAAAAGCAGCAAATTAGAATTACCTGTACAACTGTCACCCAGCCATAACCACTATAAAATGTTGATGGCGATATCTATTTTTAGGCTTTCAATTTTAACAATGCATGTGGTGTACTGGTTCAATTGTTAAGTTTCTCTTTGCATTAAGTAGACCTATAAACTACTTTATATTTAAAAGGTAGACTAAAATCCATGATTCCTTTAAATTCTATCATAGATTTTTACTAGAATAGTTATATTAAAATGATGTTTTATTATAGAACTATTCTTGATTTACTGAATATTAAAATATATTCAAACTGTTACTTATATGAAACCAGTATTAAAAAGTATTTTTGAGGAGAAATACGTCTTTCTCAAATTAGTTTCGCAATGGCTATTATATTAGCATAGGGCTAAATCTATTGTATTATTTAATAATTTTGCATGTAACATAGAAGGTTTAGGTGAATACATTTTTATTTTGAATTTATTGCACATCTATTATAATAATAGTACTTGTTCATTATTGCTGTGGTACTGGCACTGTTCTAAGCTTTGGGCATATTAACTTATTTAATTCTCATTGACCATATGTACAATAGGTGCCATTGTTGCCCATTTTACAGATAAGACAAAGGTAGAGAGAGATGAAGTAACATACCCAGGGTCACATGGCCACTACCCAGAAGAGCTGGAGTAAGAAGCTCTATGGTCTGCCCTTTTACTACTCAAAAACTAGTTATTTGCCTGGATACCTTACATTTCCATTCTATTGGACTTTTCACTAGACTCCCTCTCCTTAATAGAATTATCTTTGCATTTGTTCCTAAAATAGCCTGATGATGGCAGGAAAAATAGGAGGACATAGAGTATCTGAAACGAAGATGGTAGCAGAGAAATGTTTGGGAAGAGTGAAAAGTAATCGTTAATGAAAATAAGAACTATTATTTATGTTTAAAAATCCCTTGAAAAATAGTATTTTTATAATCTTAATGTATAAACATAGCCTTCCTGAAACCAGTTATTTCCTCAATTAGGTAGTTGGGGCTTTAAAATTGTTAATTTCTTAGTTTCAGGTTTAAAAAATACTTATCAGCTTGGCTGGCTGTCACTCAAAAGTTTAGGTGTGAGATCCAATCATAATTAGAGATGAAATGAGTAGAATTTCTTCTTCTTATTATTGGTATCAGACAATTGGTAATGGGCTGGTGACAAAGGATGGATGAGTAAGAAGGGAGGGGTGGGCAAATGGTAGATAAAAAGTTAACTAGCAGAAAGTGGTGGAGACCTTGATGTTTTGCATCACATTTGTCTGTGTTCTGAAGTTAACAGGTTTATCTCTGTTGTGTTTTGTCCTAGTTGCTGTGTCCTTAAGGAATCAAAAGGTCATTTTACCCCAGACATCAGATGCTTACCAGGTATCTATTGCAAAAAGTGTCTCCATTCCAGAGCTCAGTGCTTTCACACTCTGCTTTGAAGCAACCAAAGTTGGCCATGAAGACAATGATTGGACAGCTTTCTCCTACTCAAATGCATCCTTCACACAATTGCTCAGTTTTGGAAAGGCCAAGAGTGGCTACTTTCTATCCATTTCAGATTCAAAATGCTTGCTGAACAATGCATTACCTGTCAAGGAAAAAGAAGACATTTTTGCAGAAAGCTTTGAGCAGCTCTGCCTTGTTTGGAATAATTCTTTGGGCTCTGTAGGTGTAAATTTCAAAAGAAACTATGAAATAGTTCAATGTGATTCTACCATTAGTAAAGTTATTCCTGGGAATGGGAAACTGTTTTTGGGCTCCAATCAAAATGAAATTGCCTCTCTAAAAGGGGACATTTATAACTTTCGACTTTGGAATTTTACCATGAATTCCAAAATCCTCTCCAACCTCAGCTGTAATGTGAAAGGGAATGTAGTCGACTGGCAAAATGACTTCTGGAATATCCCAAACCTAGCGCTGAAAGCTGAAAGCAACCTAAGCTGTGGTGAGTTAGTAGCATGTTCCTTTTCTTTTAGTATTGTTCTATGAACATGATTGTCAACAAGGAATTATACACACACATATATGTATGTCTATATATATTCACACACACATATATAGTTGTCATTCAAAAGCTCTTTTAATTTTTAAAACATTGTCTGCTCAGCTATTACAGCACACATTTGATTATGAGCCATGCATGCTCCATCAAGACATTTGGTTTTATCATTCTTAAGTTTCCCCTATGTCATAAAATATCACACACCGTTTATCACTACTATAACACAGTTATAAATATGGAGTCTCAATAGAAATGTTAACACTAGGCTTGAAACAAAAGAAATTAATAAGTAAGTTATTGCTGTTTTTGTTTTTTTTGAAATAGAGTCTCATTGTGTCACCCAGGCTGGAGTGCAGTGGAGCGATCTTGGCTCACTGCAAACTCCACCTCCCAGGTTCGAGCAATTCTCATACCTCAGCCTCCCAAGTATCTGGGGCCACAGGGATATGCCACCACGCCTGGCTAATTTTTGTATTTTTTTTTTAGTAGAGAAGGGGTTTCACCATGTTGGCTAGGCTGATCTGGAACTCTTGACCTCAAGTGGTCCATCCACCTCAGCCTCCCAAAGTGCTGGGATTACAAACGTGAAGTACCATGCCTGGCTAGTTACTGTTTTTAATCACAAAGGTGATACAGTAATAACCGTTCTTTATCCTGGAATTAAATTTCAATTGGATGACTTAAATAAACAACCATCACCTAAGAGAACAATATCCACTCAGCCAGTATTAAATATCAAAACTGTCCATTTTGCAGAAAATCTTAATAATCAGGAATTATCCATTTTTTCTTTGAACATTTTTCTCCATTTCTTAAAAATGAGGATTTATAGTTTGTTTCAAATATTGTGCTCTCTCTGGTTCTTCCTCATGAGACTGTAAATGTGCTATTATTGCAAGTAGCTAAATTCAGAATATTTTAAGAAATAATTCTGTGATAAAAACTATATTAAAGTAGAACTCCACCTAATCTCTATTTACACAAGTTAATTCTGGAAGCCTTTATTTTATTATAGGATCGATTCAAACACAAAAAGTAGAAGTTTCATTATCAACTTTAAATATCATGTGACTAAATCTAAGGCAGTGATAATACATACATTTTAGTCACAGACATACCCCTAGTTTCTCAGACCCATGCCTGCCCTTCTGGCCTGGGAACTCCTGTTACCCACCTCTTCTTGTGGCCCATGGCACTCCTAGAGGTGATGGAAGGGCTACAAAGTGATGTCATTTGAAAGATATTTCCTTGTAGGATGTTGGAAAGCAGATAAACCACAACCCTGTTCCACAGAGAAACTGCAGAGCTCTCTGCAGTTCCCTAAGATCTTCTCTCAGTGTAGGATAAGCTAGAAAGAACTCTCAGGGACTCCTTGAGAAGTCTTTTATCAGAGAAGAAATTGAGAAGGTCAAGTATATATGTTTGCTGTGGGACAGTGAAGAATAAGGAGAGGAAATGGTGTACTTCTTGCATTGTGGATGACTGTCTTTAATTCAGCGGTCTCTTTTCACCATATAATGGGCAATTATTAAAAAGTCGTAATATAGACTATATTTGCCTTTTTTTAAAATGAGATGATGTTTTGAAGATGTCGGCAACCAAAACAAATATGGCTATGTTAATTATTGCTAATACTTAAATTATATTTAAATTGAATATGTATTTTGTGCTAAATATCATTTTAAGTACTTTATACATATTGATTGATTACCTACATCATAGATGCCATGTTGGGAGTTCTGTAATTGACCTTGTTTTGCAAATAAAGAATCTGAGGCATATGGAGATTAAACAACTTATCCAGTGTTAATTAGTAAATAGCCAAACCAGGATTGGACCTTGGAAAGTTTGGTGTTAGAGCTGTGCTCTTCTAACCAGTATAAATTAGACTGTCATTCAGCATAAAACAGATTAGAGTATGAGATTTAGTACTAGAGTAGGCAAGCTCATTCTTGCCAGGGAGAAGTATGAAAGTCCAAGAGCCATCTCCCTGGCATTCAGTGCATTCTGTGAGAAGTCACTAGCTTTGACTGTGTTAACATATTTGTTTCAAACAAACAATATTCGTTTCCCACAATACTTCTTGGATACCTAATTATGAAAAAGTATGATATAGTTTTACAGGGATTCCTGAGTTTCTCTTAGAATTTCTCTAGACCAGAGGCTGGCAAATTAGGAGGGCCTGTGACAGGCCATGTGTTTTTTTGTTTACTTGTTTAGAGACAGGGTTTCACTTTGTCCCCCAGGCTGGACTACAGTAGTGCCATCATAGCTCACTATAACCTTCAACTTCTGGGCTCAATTTATACTCCTACTTCAGCTCTCCTGAGTAGGTAGCACATCAAGTGTGTACCACCATGCCCAACTAACTTTTTAAAAAATTTCTTAGGCCGGGCACGGTGGCTCACACCTAAAATCCCAGCACTTTGGGAGGCCGAGGCGGGAGGATCACAAGGTCAGGAGATCAAGACCATCCTGGCTAACATTGTGAAACCTCATCTCTTAAAAAAAAAAAGAAAAGAAAAAATTCTTGTAGAGTTGAGGTCTCACTATATTATTAAGGCTGGTCTTGAACTCCTGGCCCCATGTGATCCTCCCTCCTCAGCCTCTCAAAGCAGTGGATTATGGGCATGAACCATCGTGCCCAGCACACATGTTTTTTTATACGTGTGTTTCTTTTTCTTTTTTTGGATGAGGTCTTATTATGTTGCTCAGACTGGCCTCAAACTCTTGGGCTAAAGCAGTTCTTCTACTCTCAGCTTTCTGAGTGACTGGGACTAAGCCCACTTGTTCTTGTAAATAAATTTCGTTGAAACACAGACATGCCCATTAGTTTATACATTGTCTATGGCTGCCTCTCTGCTACAATGGCTGTATTAATTGATTGTGATCAATACAGTATAAAACGTTTAGGAAAACATTTGCCAACCCCTAAAACTAGTCTAAAGAATCATGCGAGTCCACTCTGCTGAAGCACATACTTTGGAAAGTACTAGAAAAGACCTGCTAGATCTCCTCAGCTAGGGAAAAGAAATCATTCACCCACAGGCTGGTTTAGCCCTAAGACATGGCTGATGGTGGTAGCATTTATTTGTTCCTATTCATTTACATTTGTTCCACACAGTGCTTTTAATGGATGAATTATTTCTGATATTAAAAATTAGATTTCACATAAAAAATGTTTTGGATTTTTCTGGTAAACAAAATACACTAGGTTAGCATTTTTGCATGGCCAACACAGCTGGAGCTAAATGGTGGCTGCTGCTTTCACAGGAGCTTACAGTTTACTTCAGCCCTTAGGACTCCCTTATTTTTCCCACTCCAGCCCCTTTTTCATCTTTAGATTGCTTTCTGGCCCTGATAGGCATTTAAATGGGAATGCTGATTTATGCCACTCCCTTTATACAGGACAGGAAACTGAAGCTTAGAGAAAATAAGTGGTAGAGGCAGCTGGTGGGCTTTTCTGTCTCCTTGTCTAGTGTTTATGTCTGGGAATACTTATTTTAAAAAATTTTTAAATTATTTTAATTGATAAAAACTATATATGTTTACAGTATACAACATGTTTTGAGATCTATATATGCACACACACGTTGAATGACTAATATGAGCTAATTAACATTCATTATTATCTAATGTACTTATTTGTAGGGAGAACATTTAAAATCTCTCAACAATTTTCAAGTATACAATTATTTTTATTAACAATAGTCATGTTGTACAATAGATTTCTCGAACACATTCCTCCAGTCTAACTGAAATTTTCCATCCTTTGACCATATATTCTCAACTCCTGTGCCCCGTCCATCACTGAGCCCCTGGAAACCACCATTCTATCCTTTGTTTTTATGAGTTCAACCTATTTAGATTTCACCTGTTTAGATGTAAGATCATGCAGTTCTCATAATTTCTTAAACTCTGCCTTGAGACTCCTCTCCCAAGCCTTAAGATTATCAGAGTTCATCAAATACATACTCATGTACCTTAGTCATCTATAAGTTTTCAAAACAATTTCGTCAAAAGGGTATCATGAACTTACAGAGTTAATATAGTTGAGTCTTTTTAACTTTTATAGTGATCTTCTTGCCATTCCAAGATGACGTTAAACACTCACATTCCAGACATTCAGATGTCCTGGACTGTGTTTCAGGAGTAATGATGAAAGAGGGAATTTCCTCCTGCTTAATCATCAGCTTTGGGAGTTGAAGAACCCAAGTCACTCATTAACTGACAGGAAATACCTGTAACAGAGATTATATCAAGGCTTGTTAGCTAAGCAAATCTTTGATAAGAGTACCCTGTTAACATTTTAACCTTTCATTTTTTTCCAGAAAATGACAGCATCTTGCAGTTTATGGTTATCATAATTTCCATGATCAGTACAGTAACCAATGGGAGAATAGAATTTTATTTCTACCATTCCATTGAACTGACAATGCCTGCTAAATATGAGCTTTTATTTCAGGATCAATTTGTGATAGAAAAATAAATAGATTTTGCAAAGTTACATTGCTAATAAATTTTAATATGAAAGTAACATAGTAGAATTGAACGGACTCAATTTAACATTAAAATATTCTGTCATTTGTTTTACATATTAAACATCTTAGCCTTAATAAAATTGATATATTATTAATAAGTATTCTGATAATTTTAGAAAATGACTTTGTTTTCTTATACTTTTCTAAAAATATTTGGAAAATGTACCTTAACTAGGAAATTTTCAGCAGATTTTTAAAGACATGGTTAAACCTGTCAGTCCTTTGAAAAATGAAATGCTTGATTTAGCAATAATTCTTTTTCATTTTATAGCATCTTCATTTTTCTTAGAACAGTTTTATTAAACATATTCAGTTTTATGACCCACATGGATAGATACATTTTTAGTGGACTCTTTAATTACAGGTGCAAGTATTTATTTGCCTGTGTTATGATTCAACTTT